ACAGGGTGTATGCATAACATTTAATCACAAGGATAGTTTGCTATGGCATGTAAGTTCCAGTGAATGTATGCCAACTAAGCCATGGTGTACCTCAAATAAAAATGTGATTTTCACTACTGATTTTGGGTCTATCTAACTGCCGTTAGCACTTTTAATAACACGCCATGTAGAATGAAACTGCTTCAAGTGTGGATGTCTATTATTAAATGAATCGGCTAGAAAACCTTCATTAGAAAAAAAGTTTCAGTGAATGGCATGCGGGGAGCCCTTGTGCTGCGTATGCATCTTTGTAAGCATGTGCAAAAGTTGGAAGTACAAGATACTGCTCACTTTCCCATGATAGCAACATGCTTCTGCTGCACTTTTTGGGGCATTTCCAATTACGTCTATGGGGCAAAAAAGGGCTTTTATCTGCCTGAAGAAGCTCATGTACCTTTTCGGGAGTTTGGCGTTTTCCTGCTGGAGTTTTTCTGCTCAGGTGTGAACCAGGGCCATTGAAAATCATGGGATTTATTGTGTTGGGCATTTAAAAGCGCTTTTCGAACTGCGGATCATCAGGTGAAAATAAAGGAGAAAAAGCCTAAAACGAAAACTAAGGCAGCCATCAATATATTACATTTTGTTTTTTGGGTTTAGATAAGCTATAAAAAAAAGTATGTATTTAGTTAGATGTTTAACAAAGCCCAAGGTATGTCCATTTACTTGGAAGCTACCCTTGCATACAAGATGGAGTTGTGTCTGTCTATTGTGTTGTGAAGGTGAAAGCCTGTAAGGCTTTCTACAATCAGATCATCCGGTTTGTAGAAGGAAAAAGCAAGGAGGGAGGAAAGAAGCACAAGATAACAGCCTTGCAGGTTGTTTGGGGGAGGATGGAGGGTGAAGTCCTAGTAGTTGGTGATGGGGACAGATGACCATATGAGGTCCCCGGCTGTGAGACTGATACGAGTTATTACGTTAAGAGGTTTTTTAATGGAACCCATATAAGCGGTCAAGATATTTCAGGTAGAAATACTGCTTGAATCTATATATATATAATCTATATCTATATATATATATAATCTAATAATCTATATATATAAGTATAATCTATATATAAACTATATGTAGCTAGGATGTCAATTCCTTCATGAGCTGAAGGTGAGTGATTAAACTGATCCATTCTTTAATGGAGGGGGGAAGATTAGATTTCCAGTGCTTTGGGATCACTGTTCTGGCTGCTAATAGAAACAAATTGTAGTAGACCTTTTTTTTTCCAATACATTTTTAAGAAAAATGGTGGTGAATGGATTCTCTGGTGTACACAATAGGAGCAGAAGGCACAATGGTAACATTACTTGGATGTCTAATGTGCACCAAAAGCTAGATGTGCGCTGTACCCATTAAACATCATAGTACAAAGAATGGGGTGGGTTCAGTGATCACACTGCAAATTTTTGTGCACATGCAGGTCCACAATCCAAGCCATTAAAGATAAGTGTAAAAGAAATGTAATTAGTAAAAAATCTTATCTTATTATCTTTAATATCTAAGTGAATGATATGTGGAGGAATATTGTGCTGCAAGTGCAGGTGTCTTTCACACATGCACAAAAGGCAAGGCGTTAGCCAGCATCCAAGATTGTTACGCTAATGCTTGCAATATACATTCCAATGATAAATACCTGTTCATAACGTGACTTTTTCCTATGACAGCATAGCAAAAATGTTGTCATGTACATTCTGTGGTGCACCCTATAGGAACAGTATGCAGATAGATGTTATTTGGATGTTCAACATGCACTGTGAACTAGGAGGGCACCATATTCATTAAACATCAGTGCACATTCAGCTGGATGAGTTCAGTGATCTCGGTCGCTATGAGCACAAATGTCCATGCGCGCATGCAGGTCTGCAATCCAAATGTACCTTAATTTCTCCCTGCTGTTTTTAAATTGTAGTAAACCAAAGACCCCTTATAAACTCTTACTGAGCTGAATTGGTTCATCATAAAAATGATCGGTGATTGTTCCTCAACTGATCTGTAGTATAAGACATCCATTTCCAGTGTTTTAGGGAGCGGATCTCACTTCACCCATGCCTGCATGACAGGAAGAACACTGCATAAAAAATGGCCCATCTGACCTCAATCTAAAGGTGCCCACACACCTTGACATAATCATACGATAATCGCAGGAAATTCCGCGATCGCACGATTATCGTAAGGTGTGTGGAAGCCGTGCGACCTCTACTACTGTAAGGTAGCACGACTTTTATCTTACGAACATGTTCGAAAACCCGCCGAGAATCGTACGATTTTCGGCGGGTGTGTAGCATGTTCGTAAGATAAAAGCTGGACGGGCCGTTCGGCATTACGGTCACCGGAAGCCCGCCTGATGACCGCGATCATCGCAAGTACGATGTGTCTGTCCAAGATAGGCAGATCGTACGTTTTTTTAATTACCTTACAACCATCGCAAGACAAAAGTCTTGCCAAGGTTGTAAGGTGTGTGCGCAGCTTTATGCTGTCCTGATATTCGGCCATAATGTAGCTTTCTGTTAATGAGCAGCAAGCAATTCAGCGGGTGTATTTCACATACACAGTATATCCAATTCAAATTGATTTTAAACACTAAATAAATCAGAATATGTTCACTTGAGTCTTCATCTATTCAGGTCAAAGGATATGTCACCGCAGGATAATCAATTTTAAAGACATTAATTTTCCTGAATATTTATGTGTATACTGTATGTATCTAAATACAGACTGTGTCTCTACAAGTTCGAGCCTTTCAACTGACCTAAGCGACGGAATTAGCAATGACCAATTGTCCTTTCCATGGGTTACTATATAATTTGTAAGGCTTAAGGTCCCCACACACCTTACGATAATCGTACTATAATCGTGGGAAATCCAGCGATCGTACGATTATTGTAAGGTGTGTGGAAGCCGTGCGACCTCTACTACTGTAAGGTCGCACGACTTTAAACTTACGAACATGTTTCAAAACCCGCCGAGCATCGTACGATGTTCGGCGGGTGTGTAGCATGTTCGTAAGATAAAAGCCGGACGGGCTGGTGTGCGCAAGCGCACACTGCCCGTTCGGCATTGCGGTCATCGGAAGCCAGCCCCTCAGGGGGCATGGCTTGCGATCATCGCAAGTACGATCTGCCTATGCAAGATTGGCAGATCGTACTTTGTTTTAAGTACCTTATAACCATCGCAAGACAAAAGTCTTGCGATGGTTGTAAGGTGTGTGCCCAGCCTTAAGATTTGTACAATGTGATTAACAGGAAGCAGTCAGCCAGCCTCTGAGACACCGATTAAATCCTAATTAAACAGCATTGAGTATCCCTGTCCATAATTAAGATAATTACCAGCTATGCAGAGAACTATAGACAAAGCACAGCTCTCCATGGGGTTTTAGTTACATTGTAAAACCTACAAATACAAACCTAACATACTAAAGGTAAAGTCCCACCTGTGGTTCACGTCTTCAGCTAAAACTGTGTATGTGACCAGTTTACACAGGTGTTATACCAAGTATGGAGTAAAGGGACAACACATATGAACTAACAGATATTTTCAGTTGGATCTGGCCGTGATCTCATATCTATGAGCAGCTTCAGACAACCATGCCTGACAGACTTCAGAGAATAGAAGAAAGGTATGGGGCACTGGATCACAGTAGCAGTAGTGGTTCTCAGTCAGGTCTTAAGCAGTGTAGAGGGAATGATTCTCTTCCAGGAGAGATGGCCAAAGGTGGGCTCTTTTCCTGACCAAGGACTGGGTGTGCAAGGAGGAACGTGCAAAAGCCAGACCATATAAAATCCAGATTCAAATGTATTCACTCTTACATCATAAAAAGCCAACATGTTTTTGGGAGTTCAAAGGGCCCCTTATCTAGTTCTCTCCTAATTGGTACAGTCTCGTGCCATGTCTAGTGCAGATCAATTAATAGATAATGAGAATTGTTGACAAAGATTCTCATTATCGACTATTATCGATTAGTTTGATTAGTTGATTCAGCCCTATTCTGTTGTATATTTGCAGTCTCTGAAAGCTAAGTGACGAGGGAGCATGGGGCCGGCTTTCTGGCCAATCAGGAAGCCGGGGGGGGGTGAGTCATTACACGCCCCCCGACTTGCTGATTGGCCAGACAGCCAGCTCCATGCTCCCTGGTGACAAGGCAGCATGGAGCTGGCTTCCCGGCCAATCAGGAAGCCGGGGAGCATGTAATGACTCGCCTCCCTGCTTCCTGATACCGGATGTTCCGGTATTGGGATAGGCATCTGGGCGAGTACGAGTACTTGCCCAAATACTCGGTATCAGCACAGATACTAGTATCGATATCATTGCATCCTATGCGTGGCCCTTTGGTGATGTCAAGGGCTGTGTCTCAGGCCCCCTATATAAAGCACATTGAACACCCCTGACCTAAAAGCATTTGTGCAAATTTATAGAACCAAGTCAACCTCACACAATGAAGATTTTCTATCCTTAAAAGAGAACTATGGGGTAAGTGTTTTTCCCCATAGTTCTCTTTCAGGGTCGCGGTATACGGAGATCGCCGCAACCGGGACGGATACCGACATTACTGTCAAGATCCACCCAGTTTAGTGAGTGACAGCTGGCTCTGCCTATCTAGAGGCAGAGCCAGCTGTGCCCGCCCCCTCCCCCGTCCGTTCCTCCAGTCATCTGGAGGATCGGAGCGGGGAGGAATCCCTGCAGGGAGCGTGACTGACAGTCACCGCTCACTGCAGGGAGATGATCGAGCAGTGAGCGAAGGGAGGGGCGACGGTCTGTGTTCGCTTACTTCCCGATCTATTGAGTCTGACTGTTTCATTGTCACACGTCGGCTCGAACTATGAGGATGAGTGATTTTCACGAACCTCATAGTTCTCCTTTTAATTGCTATTTCTTAAGTATAGTAACCTACAGCAACCAATCAGAGATCAGCCTCTGGTTTACATTCAAGAACAAATGTTGTGCTACTGCAGAAAACTATAAAAGCACAAGCCTACCCTGATGACTCAGAAGGAGATGCACTCCCTTGATGACCTTCATATTGCTTCACCATCGCCCGCACACTCCAATATGGGTTCCCGATCTCTTCTTCCACATTGCCGTTCCTAGAGAGAAATGTCACTAATATGTTACTCATACTAATACCTTTAAATCAAATCATTAGAAAGTCAGATTTCATTCAAGAGTAACCCCAGGCAACAACTGAAAGCAGCAAACTCTATAATATATAATATCCAGAAATATTGCAACTGTGTATACAGCTGTCTTCTACTGTATCTGTAGAATAAAAAATAAAAGCAAAAATAAAAACAGTCCATTGTGTAGAAGGCACCTTCTATTGCAATGTGGTGCAGTTACGCATATTCTATATTGGCCCAACCCCCCTCTCCAAATTATATTCAACTATTCCAGATACAAGGAGATATCGACTGTGCACAGAGTAGGAACTCTCCATATAATTCAATTGAGAGTGCACAATGCATGAGTGGAGCTGGCTGGCAGGCTTTTAGCAACTGATTGCAAGGCATTAGCAAGCTACACAGCCGATATTTTGCTGGATCAGACTCAAGTGAATATAAGGCTGGAAAGAGGGCTAGGGACCTACAGAATGAGTCAGTGCCCTAAAGTCAGTTATATTTTAGGAGATGATGTTTCTAAAAATCAGTTACCATAAAACCCAAGATCAAGCCGCGGCCTTTTACCTCAAAATGTGGAATTTTGTTCTGTTTCAGTCATTCTGTCATTGATCTAATCCTCCATTTTCCATCAATGCCATGTTGCATGGCCCAACTGTTTTCAAACTTTATATCATAGATGCCCTGTCTTTCAGCTACAGAATTTCCTCATACAATTCATTAGTCCTGCAATAATGTCTAACCCCACATTATTACATTTCTTCCATTATGCTGACAGGATGAGATTTTTGGATACTGTTTTCTATGGTGGGCTGATTTACTAAAGAAGTTGAGAATGATCACCCAAAATATAGTGTGAATATACACTTCAATTATCCAATCATGTAAAAAGCATCTGCACATGATTAGGTATTCAAAAAGAACAGGAAATTGTTGTTCACATGTTTGTAGAATTGATGTCAATATACATTTAAAGGAGAACTATGGGGTCAGTGTTTTTCCCCATAGTTCTCCTTACCATGCTGGGCAGAACTTCTGTTTTGCAGCAGACTGCCTTGTCTCTGGAATGGCTACATGGTGTCTGTGTGTAGGTTCACAACCTGAGCCAGCACTACAGGAAGAGGCACTCAGCTGCAAAGGGAAGTTCTCCCCAAGCATGAGAAGACATGAGGATTTAAAAGGAAGAGCAGCAAAGAGAAGGGAAACAACCATGGATTACAGTAAGACACACATTACAGTATTGGTTTATGTTAAAAAATCTGAGGGTTTAATGTTTAATAATTTGGGTGAAGATTCTCAAAAATAAATCAGAGCCCATGACTTGCATGTCAACAGAACACTGAACATGCATGAGGAACATTCATTTCGGTTTTAGCAACCTTACGATGGGCAGAAAAGTTTTTCTTTGCGGTGCACTGGGGGATGTGTGCGTGGAAGCAGTGCCATTTACTTTCAATGCACCGCCACGTCCCCTTCCACCCCAGAACGCAGGGGGAAGTTATGTGAGCGATTGCGGTGCGTTCCAGCAGCTGCTGCTCTGGAACGCTCCGCAATTGGTGTGAACAATCCCTGAACAAAAAATGTAATACACTGTAATGTAATACATTGCAGCTTACTCATTGAGGTGGCTGCATTAGTTGTTTTTTTTACCTAGGAATACTGCAAATAACCTACCTGTCTCTTCATTCACTCCTCTACTGTATCTATGGAGGAAACCATGGTTGCCACCCAGGCTGGACAATATAAATGAACTAAATTAAATGGGCTACAAGTATGACTGCCTTTGTTTCTCTCCCTTACATGGAGGATGGAGAGATTAGTAGTTTAGAGAAGAATGACAAGGGCACTATAAAAAGATGTAAGATTCAAATTGGGCTTTAAAGAAGAACTCCAGGCAAAACTTGTATTATTCCTTGCAGTGGGGCTACTCTCGCACTGCAAGGGTTATAAGTTATACTCATCTGAACTGTGGAGCTGGCTTCCTCTTAGAGGTCCTTCCAGCCTCACTTACCCTCCTCTGCAGTGGCCCAAAGGTCTATGCACTATGTATAGATGTGAGGGCGCTGAGGAACATTCCAATGCTGCAGCGGACAGGCTTCAGTGACCAGAGAAGCAGCGAACCAGCTTAGCAGTTCAGGAGGTTATAACTTTTTTTAGCACTTAGACAAAAAATTAGCAGTTAACCCTTGCAAAACGGGGGTAGCCCCACTGCAAGGGTCAATAAATGTTTTGCCCAGAGTTGTTCTTTAACTGAAAAAGTGAAGATAACATGAATCAGTTGCAAGAATTAAATGCTACATTCCCGAATTATTGTGATGCTGACTAATGTAATAAATCAAATCAATGTTTATGTTGACAAGGGGGCACCTTGGTCACTATGCATTTGCTCTGAGATGGCCACGGTGAGAAACCTGTGTCTTTATGACTATGTTTCTGATTTTGTGTTGTGAAAGGAACTACACTTCATCAACCACAACTGAGATTCCTAGCAAAGATAAGACATATAATAAGAAACAATGAACATATGAACATGTCACCTTGGACAATAGGATAATAAGAATAAGAACAAAGTAACCCTGCAGCTAGACAGCAAAGCATGATGCATCTTGCGTGGACGCTGAATGTTGGTTGCTATACGATACAAAGTACAGGACACTCTATGCAAGAATATCTACTTCTAGCAGAACATTTATGTCAGTGCAAATCAGAGCACTATTGTTAGCTCAGAATCCAATAACTAACTGGGGGATGTATAGTTTCCTGCACTCTGTGTGGGCATGTGTGTATGTGGTTTGCTGTATTGATAAATCAATTAAAACACTTGGCACTATGGAACACAAAACAATATTGGATATGAATACATCTAATTACTCATTAAAATACCAATGATCTTCATGGCCACATACAGCATAATGATTTGTAGTCCAGTTACTTGTATACAATGAACGGAGACTGCACTATCTGCACCAGGCTTGTAAATTCTCTGTTTTTTTCCTACTACAATCAAATGTCATACTTATGGGTTCATTTGCTTTCACTAGACCTACAGCAAGAGTTTGGGTATGAGTGTAACCTCCTGTGACCATATGATTGTTGACTTAGATTGTAAACTCCTCTGGTGTAGGTGATATGTCTTTTTATTTATCTTATCTTTTAAACAAATGAATCCTAGCTGCCCTCCCTCGCCCACCACATTCTAGCTCAGCAGACAACTCGAACAAGAAGCTGTGGCCTACACCAGGCTGAGTGGCACTTATGTCTTCTTATGAGCCAGGTGGTACTATCACATTGCAGTACCACCCTGACATCCAATTCAGATGACAAAACCTCCACTGCTCACTGAAGTTCCAAATTTGACAGGTAAGTGACAGGAGAAATGGCTTAGCATTGTTAGAGGATGAGATTAATCTTGACAAAAGGTGCCCACAGACTGGCCGAATTGCGGCTGGTTTTTAATGTACCGGATGAAATTCGCACAGTGTGTGGGGTTGTCGGCTCCCTTTCAGCTGGCATTCCTTGATCAGCTGATCGAAGGAGCCGCCTGGAAAATCTTCGTATGATCAGAGCTGGCAGCCAATGAGCTACCAGCTCTGATCATCAGAATACAATGGTAACAGCGGGATTCCTCGATCGACACGCTGATCGAGTTGATGGAGGAACCTGGTCAATTTTTTTTCATTCAGCACAAAAGAAATGTATAGGTGTATGGCCAGCTTTAGGCAGAAGTCGAGGCTCCATGTATTGTCTGGGTTTTGGATCCAAGGGGCTCTATAAAGACACAGGTATCGATTTCAAGAATAGGACAGCTACCCTTAGGCATCACAAGGTACATGTGGGTTAAGTAGGAAAAGCCCTTAAGAGAATTATAACATTGCAGCTTCTGGTTTCCTGAAAGATGGTGAGATGTAAGTGGCACATGATTCTATTTGAACAAAGAAACAGTTTGAATCACGGCTCTGAACTGCATACCACAAAGACCAGCAGTGGGGAAAATATACATCCACTTCCTCTAAATGCTTACTGTATTGAAGGCTGAGCAGATGAGGGGCAGGATCCTTGATCCTCTGCTGCCCCATATACTGTATGTGAATATTTGCAACCTCAATCAAAGTGAATGATAAAATGGAAAAACTCCAACATGTTATAAATAAATGACATGTTCATCAGCCCTTTCATGGCCAAATGTCTGATGCATGGATGCCCAGACCAAATTTAGCAGCATCAGCATGTGCTGGATAACATGACAATACCTCTGAGAACATTTTGTCTACCTAGATGATTTTGTTTCTTTTCAAGGACTCACTGTATAAGGCTTTTATTTGATTATAAATACTGAGCTCAGATTTATTTTCATAAGTTGGCAAACAGACAAAAATCTTTAAAAAGTATTGTAATTTTAAAAACTTTTTTATTCAACATTTTTACGTAGTTGTTGACATCGAAGTACACAGGGCGTGTGTAGCACATCCTGTCCTTCTGCCCACTGCTGTTCCACCTCTGCATTTGCCAGTAATTTCCAGTGGTCATTTTTGCTGCTTGCTCTATTTTGTGCATTTGCAGTGGAACGGAACGCAGACAATGTTTTGCCACGTGTCCGATCGCACTACAGGCAGGGGTGTGGCTGTGGTGCCATTGACTTCAATGCACCGCTACACCCCCTCCCACCCCAGAACGCAAGGGGAAGATTTGTGAGCGATTGCAGTGCGTTCCAGCAGCTACCGCAATTGGTGTGAACAAGGCCTAAAGCAACCAGACAAGTAAAAAAAAAAATTTTTAAGTTCCTATTTAACCCCTTATTAACTCTTACCTTAATTTGCCCTAATTAACTCATTCGTCACCTTCTTTCTTAGCTATTATTTTCCTGCTGTTTTTTTTTACACAGCTTGCAGTAAAAGCTACAGCATGTCATATAGAGTCTGGTTTTTATTCTGGCTGGAAGATGTCCATCATCATCTAGGTCTTTCGCCCACAGCCTTACTGTCCCTGGCCTGCCCCTTTCATTCACTGGATTTTAGTTTTTTCAATCAATAAAGCTTGGTATCATATGTGGCTATGCAAATGCAGCCTGTCTAGGATCACCCACTCCTCCAGACTGACATCCAACTGTCAATGCATTTTGATATTTGCATAGCTCCTCCCAAGACTCAGCCCACTTCTGGCATCAGGGCTGAGGGCTTTTGAGTGGAGTACTGAGGCAGGGTGCTGTAATGTTTGCAGAAAGCTATGTACAGTGTAGCCTGCTCAGTCCTCCCACCAGCCATAATCTTAACTGCACAGAGAAGCACAAAGACACAGTGATGTCTAAAATAAGATATGTAGTGAAAAATTTGCATTTTGTGTAGGGGGGAATGGAAGTACCAGGAAAGGCAAAATCTAAGCAGATTAAACTTCATCATAACAAAGTTCCTGCTGAATAAATAGGCCCATAGCAAAAGTGTTAAATGACTCTGGTTTATAGGGAAAGTATAGGTGTAAGAGATTAGGTGATAAAGAACTATGGGCAATTTTTTTTATTACCCCTCCAGTGGGGCTACCCACGCACAGCAAGGGTTAATTTGCTGTTTTGGTCTAGGTGCAAAAATAAAAAAGTTATTTACCTGAACTGCTGAGGTGACCAGCTGTCGCAGAGCCTCTGTCCTCCTACACAGCAGGAAAGGTATGTCCCTCGGCATCTTCATGTCTATACACAGTGTATAGAATGTGATGACACCAGGCTCCTTAGACAGCTGCAGCACAGGGGGAGAGACGCTGGAAGGACTTGTCTAAAAACATGCTGGCTCAGAGGTTCGGGTGAGTATAACTTTATTGTTTTTGTACTTAGACGAAAACGAGCACTTAACCATTGTAGTGTGGGGGTAGCCACGCTGCAAGGGTTCATTTAAAAAAAATTGCCCGGAGTTCTTCTGTAAAACACTTTACAGACTCTGTGCACTGAAAGTGCACAGAGAAAGAAATAAACTGAGAACTGGAGCAATATGGGTGCAATTACTAGCAAACATCATGTGATTCCCATGTTATAGCTAACATGGTGATCACACGTTTAGAAGCCATTCGTTCCCGGTCAGTAGAAGAGACCGGGTGTTGTAGGTGATAGCATGGTCTCACAGAAAAGAACTGGAACAGATGCACGTTCCTATATCTGAAAGGCAACATAAGGTAATGTTCCCTCAGCACTACATATTATGGTCACAAATCAGTTAAAGGAACACCTCAGTCAAAACTGGAAATTCTTGGGACATATAAAGGGAACATAGACTATCTGCTCTAGGCTTTATTTTTTACCCAGGCATGGTTGAAGTACAATAGACCACCTCGCACCTTTATGTTGGTAATCTCGGAACGTATTTGCTAACCAGTTTGTAATAGAGAAGTGTGGCATTCCTCATTATACACATTGCATGTTCCTGGCTGTCTATCACATCCAGAAAAACTAATGTCATTCTGAAGGCCACCCACCACATGCCACAGAATCCAAGTGGTGATAAAGCAAGTACAGTGACAGCTACCAAGCATAGGCTTCAGTAAGCAGACATACCCATCCCACATGTGAGGAGCTATGATAAATCAGTTTGGAGTGGATTATAGAGCTGCAACAGTTAATCGATTAAGTCGATTAAAATCGACGATTGAAAACGTTGGCAACGTTTTCGATCGTCGATTCGTCGGCTATCGATTGCTTAGCCTGTTCGGGGCTCCACACGCGGCCTGAGTCGCACGTCACGCGTCACACGCTGCTCCCGACGTGTCCACCGCACAGGCCGCCGCATAAGCCATGCCCACCGAACAGAAGCCGCGCACGCTGCTGGTCTCCTAGCCGTGAGCTCTCTCACCCGCCGCGAGCTGCCTCACCCGCCGCATAAGTCATGCCGGCCGCTGGTCTCCTCCTAGCCGTGAGCTCCCTCAGTCGCCGCAAAAGCCATGTCCACCGCTGGTCTCCTCCTCGC